GACAAACATTTAGAGAGGCGCCACTTGGTACAAGAAGTGATGGAAGTAGACACCAACCACCCTTGCCCTCATAGTGCTTATAGGTTGATGGGAAAGGCAGATAATATATGGGAGATAAATATATGTATGTATACATTTACGAAATGAGAAAAATGTGGTAAGGGTGACCACAGTGCTATGATGGAAGGAACAGAGTGAGCCACTTAGTTGGAAATTGGAGAAGATAATAGAGTTAGACTTGTAAGATTAAAAAGAGCCAGTTGTGGAAACTGGGGGAAAGAAATTCTAGGCACACAGAAAAGAGCTGCAAAGGTTTCAAGGCAGAAGGCTCTTGATGTATCTAGAGCTTAAAGGAAAACCATGAAGGCTGGCATGATGAGAAGGAGATAAAAGGAGTTTGGGATAAGACTGGACAGAGAGGCAGGGGCTTGATCACACAAGGTCTTATCAAACTAAGGAGTTTGGATATTACAAGGGCAATAGAGAGCCATGGGAGGAATCTGATCCATTGTATGCTCTGTGCTGGGTTCTGTGTTCAGAACTGTCCTTGAAGAGCTCAGACCATAGTGTCTGGTAGAGCAGAAAATCAGTACCAGATGATGTGGTAGTAACTGTTGGTCAAAACTTAACCTAAAACAGCTAGGAGGGATTAGAGAAGGTTTCACAGAGCAGGTGACAAAGGCATTGACCCTATAGAATAAACAGAAATATTTCAAGTGGATGAAGCAGTTGGTGAGCTGGTGCCACTTGAGAGAATCAATTGTGTATATCTCTTCAAGTCTACTTTAAGGACATCACATTGGCAGCTTGAAATCCGCAATACTGGCAGCATTTACACCATGAAAATTGGCAAGTGCTACAAGTCAGTGTGGGTTTATTTTTTATTTGAGGAAATAATGGGTGGGATGAGCATTAATAGTCCCAGAGAAGACTTTTTATTTTTAAGAGGTTTTTGCATTAGGGCATATGCCCTTGCTGGAGAAAGAGAAAGACAGAGACAGTGAGAAATCACTCTCTATGGGGGATGACCATGCTGTAATCTTTTCCCCTCCATTCTCATCCTGGAATCTTGGGCATGTATGCACATGCACCTGGTGTGAGTTTCAAGCCACCAGGTCTGGGACTCAAACCACAGCCAGCCAATGGGAGTTCAGCAACATAACTCCTATGCCATCTGCTGGCCCCCAGAAAAGACTTTTTTTTTTAAGAGTGATTTTGCTATAGGGCACATGTACTCACTGGAGATACAGAAAGTGAGAAATCAGTCCCCAGGTGCATGACCATGCCACAATCCCTTCTTCATTCTCCTCTTGGGATTTTGGGCACACATACACGCACGCCCAGCTTGAGTTTTAAGCTGCTGGGTCTGGGACTCAAACTGCAGTTAACTATATGAGAGTCCAGTGATATAACCATTATGCCATCTGCTGGATCCAGAGAAGACTTTTTGATGTGCATAATATGGGAGCATTGAGGAAGATGAAGTTGATCTATATGGGAGTGTTTCAAGTTTGTATCCAAAGACCTCCCTGAATACAGCAGGCATGCATGTGCCCATGATCTGGAGCTGGCTGAGGTTCTTCTTAATAATTGTTTTGATTACTCTAGCATCTTTGAATTTTTGCATTAAATCTTAGAAGCATTTTGTCAATTTCCACAGAAGCCTGCTGGGATTTTTATTGGAATTAAATTGAATTTATTGATGAATTTTGAAAGCACTGGCATTTTAGCAACAGTGAGCCTTCTTATCCATGTGCATGGTATGCTTTGTATTTATTTCTATCTTCTTTAATTTTTTCATCAGTGGTTAGTAGCTTTCAGTGTATAATTATTGCACATTTCCGTTAAATTTATCCCTAAATATTTCATATTTTTGATGCTCTTATAAGTAACACTGTTTCCTAAATTTTTATTTCCATTTTTTTTTTCAATTTGTTTCCATTTGCTTTTCTGTTAAAACATACAAATAGAGGGGCCATCAGGTGGCATAGTGGTTAAGGCTCTGACTACCAAATGGCAGACAGCAGTTCAAGTCCTGGATCTGGTGGCTTGAAACTAACACTGGGCATATGTGCATGCATGCCTGAAATCCCAGGAAGAGAATAGAAGAGAAGGGATTGCAGCATGGACATCCCCTCAGGGAATGATCCCCCCACCCCTTGCAAGTACACATTCCCTATAGCAAAATTCTTTTTAAAAAAAAGAATATAGAAATAGAATTGGTTTTAGTTTATTGACCTTCTATTCTACCACCTTGCTGAATTCACTTAATATTGTAGTTCTAGTAGCTTTTTGTGTTGATGACTTAGGTCTTCCTACATAGAAGATCATGGAAACTGTGAGTAGAGATGTTTACCTCTTTGTTTCTAGTCTTCATGTCTTGTTTTTTCTTATTTTCCTTATCCCTAAACTTATAAGAAAAGCACTTAATCCTTCACTATTATCTATAATATTACCTGCATGTCTATTACAGTTGTCTTTTATCAGTATGAGAAAGTTCTCTTCTATTCCTAATTTGTTGGAAATTTTTATCATAAATGAGTTTAATTTTTCAAATGCTTTCCCCCACTTCTATTGAGTAATTTTATTATTTTCTTTTTTAGCACATTTATATGGTAAATTACATTGGTCAATATTTGAATATAAACCATAACTGCATTCCTAAATTAAACCCCATTTGATCATGATATATTGTCCTCTACATATTTTTAACTCAGCTGGTGATAATTTTGTCAAATATTTATTGAGACATGATCATGAGAGATTTCGGTCTTTTTTTTTTTCTATATGAGATCTTTTTTTCTGGTTTTATTATCAAGATAATACTGGTTATAAAGAAATAGGTTAGGACAGATTTCCTCCTATCCTGTTCTCTGGAAGAGTTTGTGTAGAATTGTCACTTTTTCTTCAATAAATATTTTGTAAAATTCAAATTACAGAACACATTCAAATGTTCGTAAAAATCACTTGAATCTACAGTTTTTCTTATGGAAAGTTTTTAAGTATGAAGTCAATTTCTCTAATAGATGTATAGCTATACAGATTATCTAATTCTTTTCATATGAGTTTTGGGAGTATGTGTCCTTTTAAAAAGTTGTCTATTTCACCTAAGTTGTAGAAGTATTGGCAAGTAATTATTCATAGCATTCTCTTATTGTCATTTTAATGTCTTCAGTATGTCTCCTTTTTAAATTTCTGGTCAGTCTGGCTAAAGGCTTATTAATCTTATTAATGTAATCAACTTTTCACTTCATTGATTTTTCTCTATTTTTTTATTGACTATGTCATTGAGTTTTCATCTTATAGTTATTATTTCTTTTCTTAAGCTTACTTTGAATTCAATTTACTTCTCTTTGCAGTTTCTTGCAGTAGAAGTTGACATCAAGTCAAGAAATGCTCTTTATTTCCCTCGAAGCACTGCTTTAGCTGCACTCCATCCAACAGCTACATTTGATTTTTTCATTGAGTTTAAAATATTTTATTTATTTTTCTCAAGAATTATTTTATTGAACTTTATTTATTTACTTATTTATTTCTTAATTTGACCAGAGAGTGACAGAGTGAGAAAGAGAGAGGGAAAGTGAGGAAGCAAGCCAAGTCACCAGGTCCAGGACTCGAACCATGGTCAGCCATGTGGGAGTCCAGCACCCTTAACCACCACACCACCTGCTGGTCCCAAAATATTTTATTTTTAAAAGTTTCTTCTTTAACTTACAGGTTATTTTAAAGTATGTTGTTTAATTTCTAAACATTTTGGGATTTTCTAGATATCTTTCTGACTTCTAGTTCAAGTCTATTGTGATCACAGAACAGATTGTATATCATTTCAATTCTATTAAGTTCATTGAAATTTGTTTATGATTCAGAACATATTTTATGGTGGCAAATATTCTCTGTACCATTAAAGAGAATATGATTGCTGGTTTTAAAGATGTGTTCAATAAAAATCAATTAGGTCAAGTTGATTATGTTATTAAGATTTATATATCTTACTGAATTGATGTCAAGACTTATTTTGCATAGAAAAACATAATTTCTGTTTATATGAATTACCTTCTTCCATCCTTTATGTCTAACATATTTGTTTCTTTATATTTAAAATTACTCTCTTATAGAGAGTATATTGCTGAGTCATATTACATTTTCAGTCAGTCTGAGAATTTCAGCCCCCCTCCACCCCCAGAGGGCACGTGTGTGTGCATGAGAGAGAGAGCACCCCACCAATGGGATCTGGTTATGGAACAATCCTTTTTCCTCCAACTCTTCAGCTTGTCAGGATCCTAGACATGCTTGTACATGCCCAGAATATTTTACAAGCCTCCAGGACTAGGATTCAAACCCTGGCCAGTCATATGAGATCTGGCTTACTCTGCATAGAACTTAACCACTGTACTATGGGACCAGCTCAATCTCTGCCTTTTAATTGGAGGGTTTTGAGGATTAGCATGTAATTATATTATCAATATAGACTTTAAAATTTACCCTATTGCTATGTGTTTTCTATTAGTCACATCAGTTTTTGGTTCCTTTTGTCTCAATTCCTTTTCAACAGTTCTTTCCCCAGACATAAGAAGTTTCCTCATACATATTTTCAGATCATTAGCTGATCATGAATTCAAGAGATCTTTCTGCAATGAACATTGATCTTGTCTTTCACTCTCTCCTTTCTGGTATTTTCTTCCTTAAAAATCCTTGAAATGTAAACTCTTTCTTCTCAACTCAGAGAGGTCACTGAATTGCAGTTGTGTTTGGATTTTGCCTCTCTGTACTACTGGGTCGTTGGAAAAGTCAAGATGCTTTTTTGCAGAGGAAAACATAGAAAAAATACATCATGACTTTTCTGATGACCCAGTAGCTTGAAACCCTCTCCAGGAAGCAAGACGAGCAATCATAGGTTCACTTCATTTGCTACCCTTCTCTAAGGAATACTATCTTGTACTCTCCAACATTCAAAGCCTGAAAACTCTGGATTTACTTGGATAGGTAAATTCATTCCTATCATGACCAAGAGGTAAAATCCCCAGCAGAATATTTTTAAAAGATTTAGAAAATAAAAATTTAAAAATAATAAAAAAGAAAAGTTGGGCAAAGTATAGACTATAAAGAATACAAAATAAATTACTATTAAACATTTGTTGAATTAAAATGAACCTGTCACCTATGAAAGTGCATTTACATTTTTTATTGAAAAAAACTGTCCCTGCCCAGAACAGGGTGAGAAGGAAGCATGGCCATACGAAAGCTATCTCTAAGTTTCTGAGCACATCACAAGGGTCTGTTGAGCTAATCGGCCAAGACAATGAGGAAAAGATGAGTTAATAAGCTTCAATAACAAAAAGAAAGAAAGGAGAGAGAGAGAGAGAGAGAAAGAGAGAGAGAGAAAGAAAAGAAGGAAGGGAAATAAAGAAGAAAGAAATGGAAAGAAAGAAGAAGGAAGAAAGAAAAAGAAAAAAGAAAGAAAAGGGGAAAGGAAAGAGAATGGAAAGAATGAAAGAATGAAAGAAAGAGAGAAAGAAAGAAAAGAAAAAGAACAAAAGAGAAAGAGAAAAAAAAGAAAGAGATGTAGGGTGCTCAGTTGTAAGAAAAAAGGAAAATAAGCAGAGAATCGTGACTTGGGAAGCAATCTTTCAGGGAAAACAGAAATGTCTACACATCTGAATGAGATAAAGAATTAAGAGATCTGACCAGAAGGCACAGTCCATCTTGAGACAGAGCTGGTTAAAGACATGGGAAAAAGCAATGAAAATTTAAGCGTGTTCAGTCATTTGACCAGGAATACCAACTATGTATTCATATTTTCATTTCTCTTTCCTATACCCTTAACAGACATCACTAATCAAATTACGGCTCTCACATCACCGAGCCCAGAGGCTGCCTCAGGCCATCTGTACATGGCATCATAGGCCGCCTCTACCAATTGATCATAGTTGGCCTCTAATGGGAAACCAATTTTCTTACCACATTCAGACTCTTACATGTTATTTTTAAAATAATTATTTAATTTTACTTATCACCATCATCACCATCATCATCATCATCATCATTTTACCAGAAAGTGGCAAAGAGACAGAGAGGAAGAGTGAGAAAGTAGGCTGCCAGGTCCAGGATTCAAACTATGGTCAGCTATGTGGGAGCCCAGGGTTCTAACTACTATGCCACCTGCCAGCCCCTTACATGTTATTTTGATGCAGTCTTGCTGGCTTGATGTTAGGAAAAGAAATGTAAATACAAATTCTCTGGGTGATCAAGCATAAATATGTATATCCTTCAATACTTACTAAACATACATAACATTTACATATGTTTGCATAAATATTTACTTCTACATATATAATACTTTTATAATTAAAAATCTGTCAGGAACAAATAAGGTAAGAAGTAGGAGGATGCTCTGAAAAGTACAAAGTTCTATGCAAAAAGATAACACTATGAGACCTCTGTCGCCTATCTCTGTGGTTTCCTGATAAGATTCAGAAAATCTGTGATTTATCTCTCTGGATTTCTAGTTAAATTCTGTATCTTCTCCACCTTTCTGGTTTTTTTATTTTTGTTTGTTTGTTTGTTGTTTTGCATTTTTTCTATTTCCGATATTCTGAAACAAGGTCTTGTGTACTCACCAGAAAAAGATAGAGAGGACTCATGTAGTCACCAGAAAAAGACAGAGAGAGAGGGAGAGGAAGAAAGCACTCCCTCAGTGGGGTGTGGTCATGCCACAATCCCTTCTTCTCCATTTCTCTGTCCTATTTGGTTTCTGAACACATAGCCACATGTTCCCTGGCATGTTTTGCAAGCCTCCAGGGATCAGAATTCAAACCACAGTCAGCCATGTGGGATCTGGCTCCCTTAACCACTAAGCCCCTTATCTTCTCCACTTCTAATTCCCACATACAGCTATGCATAAACTAATCAACCATTCTGAGTTGTCTATGATGAGGAATCATGGAATGGGGAACTTTTAGCATAAAGATCAGGAAAGTTCTAGACAAAGTAGGACAAAGTTAGTCACCTAGAGATACAGATAGAACAAATCCAGCCAGAGATACAAGACAGGCACAGATTGGGATCCCAGAGAGTACTGGTTTTAACACCGTTCAAATCTCTATCTCAACTCATTGAGCACAGACCCCCAGATCCCCAGGTACCTTCCTTTCCTCTAGGATCCCAGAAGGGATTTCTCACCACTGACCTCTCTCCGCTGCTGCTCCTGTCCTTGCTCCTTCGTCCAGCTAAGCTTTCCTACACCTCCCAAGTGTGATGTTTTCTTCCTAACCAGTGAATATAGTTCTTTTTTGTCTACAAAAATCAATCTGACTTTTCTTATTTCTACCAGCCTTCTCTCTCATCATTCTATCCACCTCATCCTCCCAAACACTTTAGTAACAAAGCAGGGAAGAAAGAAGTGAATACATACTTTTAAACAGAGCGTCTATTTTGTGTCAGTGCCTGTGCTGATTGCATATCTACAGAACACTAAAACAAATAAAACATGCCCCAACCCTTATGGAGGGATCAGAGTTGGGAACATTGAGAAGAAGAAGATAGATAGCACATAAATAATAATAATATAATATTATAATGCCTAATTTTTATTGAGAGCACACTCTGTGTAGCAAACATTGCACTAAGTGTTGTAAATGCATTGATCCTCTCTATCCCTTTAATAGCCGTAAGAGATAGGTGTGACTTTCATTATTCCTTATTTTCACCTAAAGAAGTTAATACGTAGGCAGGCTGACTAACTTGCTCACCTCAGTGCTAGTAAATAGTAAAGTTGTACTTGAACTTCAGCTCATCACAAAACTCATTCTGTTAACCTCTATACCCTACTGTGATACAATCCAAACAAAATCTTGGGAAAACTCAAAGGAGGGATAACACTCTCTCTACCTAGTAGGAGATCTATCAGGAAGGCTTCACAGGAAGTGACTTTTGAATTTTATCTCTAAGGGTAGGAACAACAAGTGGACAAGGGAAAAGACAGAGCCTTCAATCATAAGAGAATTTCTGATATTCTGAGTACAAATGACTTTCTAGCATAATGGTTTTAGCCATGGATGTATACTGGGAGACATAAGAGATAGGGCCAGATAGGGAGGCAGAAGTTAGATTTCAAATGCTGTCTCCTCCGTATAACCATAGATATAACCGGGAGTCACTGAAGGATTTTAGGTGGGAGAATCATGTGACTAGATTTGCAGAAATCCAGTAGAAAATTATTGCAGCAGTGATAGATTTGTGGTGGAGTGATCTGAAGACTGAAATAATTATCTAAGGAAGAAGTAATGGAGACATAAACTAAAGTGAGACTAATGGAATAAATGAGAGCTAACAGATTCTACGGAGATTTAGTAAAGCAGTGAGTTGGGCCTTGTATCTGATTGAAGTTGAAGAACAAGACATGGAAGATGGTAAAACATGATCTGGAGAGTGAGAGAATTTAAGCGGATGGCAGTGTCATTGCTGTGAGATGAACCAAGGAGAAGCAAGCTTAGTGAGAAGGATGACACTGGTTTGAGATATCTATGAGTAGTCTAAAAGGCAGTTGGCTATAGAATAAGAGCTCGGGAGAAAAGATGGACTAAGAGCACTTATCTAGAGTAAGATCTAGAGTAAGATCTAGAGTAAGATCCCTAGAGACATTTTAAAATGCCCCTTCATGAGATAACAAGAGGAACCTACTTCCACTGTCATACATTTCTCATCCTTCCAGATGCCCAGTGAGGTAGATAGTCCAGGGTTAGTTTGACCAAGTCTTTGGTTAACCTAGCTTTCTTCTCTCTTTGCTCTACCATTGCAGCCTCATCCCTGTAGTCAAAGATAGAGCTCTGGATTTTTGCGTTTATGATGCAAGCATGGCCTGAATCCTTAATGTTTTACTTAAAAATTCAAACAAATCCAAAATTCCAGAGGCTACATCTGTGGTACCTTCACATCCTTTCATATTTATACACATATCTAGTCATTTTTCTATCAGACAATCAGTCAAGGAGGATTAACATTGGCCACGTCATTATATATGCAAGGGCTCACCCTGGGCACTCTACATGCAGCTCTTACAACAGTCATGAAGTCTTATCCCCGCCCCAGTTTGCAAAGGAGAACGTTCACGTTCCAAGAGGTCACTCAGCCTCCCTAAGGTCACAAAGCAAGTAAGTTGTTCATGTCTGTTTTGAACCCAGATCTACCTAACATCATGGCTCCCAAATGCCAGCTACAAACTGCCAATGATTTGGGATGACATTTTTGCTGCACTATAATGAAATGAGCCATGTGATTGTTAATTTTTTAAAAACATTTCCAGGTCTATAAAATCTAAAATATCAGAAACAACTTGTAGGACCCGGGCTGAAACATTGCCATTTTAAAGCGCAAGTGCAAAGGCAGTTTAGCCCACCACCATCATGAGTGTGCACAGGGGTAGCAGAGACTCGAGGAGCTCCTCACTCCCTGTAAGGAGAGCACCTGCTATCCCAGGGCTCACTCCAAGAGTGGATAGGCAAAGCCTTTCCATGCTGCAGCTACTTCCTCTGAGCCCCTGACAGAGGGGAAGTTTTATCTTCCCAAGATCTTTTTTTTTTTACAATTCCATTCCTGCCTGCTAAAACAAGAAGGAAGAAACAGATGAATATTAACCATGGAATCAGCCAATATTCCTTTTACATCTTTCCTTCCCCAGACAAGTTGCTTTACCTAGTGTCCAGGAGAGGAGAGTTTTTCTCTAAAATCTCTGAGGGCAACAAACAGGACTATTTGGGGATTCCAGGACTGAAAGCTGCTTTTCTCTTTCCCAGTCTGTCAAGGAGGAGCCTTGTGGTAATCTGACTTTGCTATCTGGCTGTGGTCTTTGGTGCTCAGAGAAAAGTTCTTCTCTTCCTCCACCCCTTCTTAAAGAAAAGAAGAGTCTGCACCTGTGGGGAAAAATTCCCGAGACCTACTATTTACCAGGTACTGTGTGGGGTTTCAAGCATAACATTTCATCTCATTAGTTTACTCTTACTGCTTTCATGATTTCAAATAGAATACATGCTCATGTAAAAGAAAAGATAAAAAGGAAGGAAAAAAGGAAATCCACCCATGACCTTGGAGAAGCTGCTTAATCTCTCTGAGCATCGGTTTCCTTGATAAAATAAGGGCAAGAACAACACAAGACTGTACTTGAAAATGCCCCATTCCACCTTCAGAGACAATCATTGTTAATACATGGGTCTATATATCCCATACAGTTTTCCATATGCTTATCAGCATTTATTGTTATTTTTGTTTATTTTTTAAATGTAGTTTTATATGTGAGAGAGGGAGAGAGAAAGAGGAATACCCTCAGCAAGGCCTCTTGCTGCAATCTCCCCAGTCTCCCCAGTAAGCCGAGTGAAGGATTCCATTCTCAGAAAGCTAAAACATTTATAAAATGCCTAATTACATCTTGCCAGTAGATGCAGTAATCAGAAATACATCCATCCCATCCATCCTATATGTAGTTCTTAGATTTTGTTCTTTTCATTTCTAATTCGACCAGACAAATGAAAACCCAATGAAGCTAATGGTTTACTATTTCGGTGGGCTTTGAGTTCGATTTTTATGGCTACTGTATTAAGATTATGTGACTTTAGTACCTTGTCACTGGCCTCAAAATTTTCATATTTCCATTTATTTATATAAAATAATAAAGATTAAAAAACAATAATGTGCTCCTAATTATATAAACACTGCTAAACAAAATGGCATAATTGGTGAAACTAGACTCTCTGAGGCTAGGCAACACCATCATGAGAAAACTCAAAAGGCTTGTTGGTTGGCCAACATATAGAAGGCCTTCACAGCCTATAGCAAGCCAATCACAGATGCTTGTGGAATTAAAAATGGCATAGGGTGTGTTCAAGTCACACTATAAAAGTCAAGACTCCTACTATGTGTGTCAGACCCTGCCCTGGATTCTGCTTGGGTCTCTTCTGCTTCTACCCTGATTCTGCTTCATTGACTAACTCCTCTCCTTGACCCTGATGGGTCATTGGTGTCAGAATAGCCACATTGACGCCCTGCGGTGCGCCACTAACCTCCGGGTTTGAATTGCGGCACCGCTCGGCGGCATGGGCACCCCCGTCCTTGCCCCCGGCCTGGCAGCTCTACCTCAAGGACCACCGCGTCTCTACGTTCAAGAACTGGCCCTTCTTGGAGGGCTGCTCCTGCACCCCGCAGCGGGTCAGGCCGCCCCGCCCCATAGAGGAACATAAAAAGCATTCGTCTGGTTGTGCCTTCCTCTCTGTCAAGAAGCAGTTTGAAGAATTGACCCTCGGTGAATTTTTGAAACTGGACAGAGAACGAGCCAAGAACAAAATGGCTAAAGAAATCGGCAGCAAGCATAAAGAGTTCGAAGAGACGGCCCAGAAGGTGCACTGCGCCATCGACCAGCTGTCCGCCCTCGAGTGAGCCTCCTGCCGTGCCCAGCCCAGTCCACGCCCGTTAGCTGTTCCTCGAGCTGGCGCCGTGGCCTGGGGGCCCCTGGACGCCTTGGGGAAGGGAAGGCTAAACCCTGGGCGTGGATAACTGTGTTTCTGTTTTTTCTTGAAAGTGGCACCAGAAGCTGCTACTGCTGCCTGGGCAGATGGTGCCATCAACCATGGTGAGGAGGCATTTTCTTTGGTAGTTTTTGCTTTATCGAGTCCTCAGCTCACCATGAGAAAGGGGGTTCTCGGACAAGCAGAGGTGGACTTTGGCTAGAACTGACTGGCTTGGACCTATGTGGGTAGGCCCTCCAGCCCTGAGTGTGTCTGGGCTCTCCATCCTGAATCTGTGAACGCAATTGTAGGTGCCCTGGGACTGGACAAGGACTGTGGGTGCAATTTTTAGCATTTGTTTGCATAATAATCTAAATGTTTCTATGCGTGACTTAAAAAAAAAAATAAAAAAAGAATAGCCACATTCTGGTTACCTCTGCTTAGAATTCACAACCTCTCTGACTGAATTTCCTCAAGGATTAGACACTGCCTGCAAGATTTCCATCAACTATGCCATCTATCGTGCCGTATACTGGTGTCCTCAATAGGCCAAAGTACATATCTGCAATACTGCACAGATACGAACTTAAGAAACTTATCTATTCTCCAAGACTATATTACTTTCCTAGGGCTCCTATAAAAAGTACCACAGGCTGAGTCTTAGATGACTGTTTTCTGACCATTCTGGTGGCTAAAGTCCAAGATCAAGGTGCCATCAGGTTTGGTTTCTCCAAGGCCCTCTCTTTGGCTTGTAGAAGGCAGTCTTCTTGCCTCTTCTCACAATCATCCCTCTGTACAGGTCTTGGATCCAAAATGTTGTCTTTCTATAAAGACACTTGTCATATTGAACTATGCCACTCTCATTACAACATAAATAGGGTTATATTCTGAGGCCCCAGGGTTATGACCCAAACGTACGAATTCTGGGGGGAGTGCAATGCAGCCCATAACAAAGATAAACTGTGCAAAGTGCTTTCTGCTGCCTGCTTTCAGAAATAGTTTGTCTCTCTGGCCAGTGTTATGGCCTTCCCTCAACCTGGCATCTCACTATTTTCATCCTTTCTTCCTAATCGAGGCAAGAGAGGAATCTTCTAAGGAGGCTTTTAGCCTAGAGGAGAAGATACCATACTCCAGGCTGGGCACTCACCAGCTTCATAGTACTTCCTAGGTCTTCCTAGCACTCACCACCACCCCAAGTAGACATCACTGAGGACTCATGTCACAATCCTCTGCATGGCTGCACTATAAAGCAGAGATGTGGATATGGGAAGACAACTTTGATAAAGCAAACCAGTGACCAGAAAGGCAGTTGGAGAGGGACCAGCAGTTGGTGTAATGGCTATGTCACTGGATCCCCATATAGTCAACTGCGGTTCGAGTCCCAGACCTGGTGACTTAAACTCACTCCAGGCGCGTGTGCATGTGTGCCCAGGATGCCGAGAGGAGAATGGAAGAGAAGGGATTGTGGCATGGCCATCCCTCCTGGGGGGTGATGTCTTGCTTTCTGTCTCTCTGTCTCTCTCTGTCTGTCTGGCGAGCTCATGCGCCCTATAGCAAAAACCTCTCAAAAAAAAAAAAAAAAAGGAAAGCTCCCAAGTTGGAGAGTCCTAAATCCAGTTTTATTGGCCAATGGTTAGTTGTGTTGACTCTGCTGGTAGCAAGAAAGGATAGAGAAGGTAAATCACTCCATGTTAGCACACACTTTGAGCCCGTGTTTTCCCAGGTTTTACCTCCTGTGACTCTTACTATAATTTCATTTCAAAGATAGATCAGAGAAGTCAAATAATTTACTGTGTATCACAGGCTTGAAAGTTGACAGAGCAGGAGTCAAATCTGAGTCCATCTGCCTTTAACGTTTACATTATGTATTTACTCCCCTCTCCTTGAGGAATCCCTATCCCTAATCTACAAGGGATATAGGAGAGTGGGAAATATTCAGGGATCTAGAGCATGAAAATCACTCTCTTCAGGGAAGTTCAGATTCTGAAAGCTGTAGGCAAGAGAGTTTGATAGCTGAGTTTTGAGAAAGTCGTCATTTTCCAGCAGCTTTTTTGTGTCACCCCAACCTAATCACTAGCCCAAGAGACAAGGAACTCAAAGATTGGCACCGTGCTGTGAATGCAGGAGAGGAAAATGCTGTGTGAGCAACGCAAATACAACAAGAGGTTCCTAAGTGGTCCCTACCTCCTGCTCACTCCAGTGTTTCTTCCACATATAGCCAAGGAGTCTTTCATAAACGCAACTCTGGGAATCTCACTCTTCTGTGTAAATGTTCGGTGGCATTGTATAGTCATTCAGACAAACTCATTACCATGCTTTCCAAAGTCCCTTACCATTTTCCCAAGACCCCCCCCCTGCCTCATTTTCTGCACTTTTTTTTATATATATAAATACAGATTCCTGTTACAATTGAGAGCAGGAGCCATGTCACCCTCCCACTTCCAAGAAGAAAGGAGATACTCAGCGTTAACTGGTGAATAATAGAATGAACAAATAAATGAGTGAATTACAAGAGAGCAATACAGGATTCTTGGCTTAACTGTTCTCCACGTAATAACTTGGGGCTGAGAGTCCTTCCACCTGGCCTCCCCTAGATCCTCAGAGCCCTATCTACCCAGCCAGCAGATGCAGAAAGAGAGTGGAGCACTGCAGGAAGGTGGCAGGGCCTGAAGTAGTGTGCGTCACTGTTTTCCTAAGTATATCAGCAGAAGTCAGACAAAGGTCCCACCTAACTGTAAGGACAGCTGCAAGTCCAGGAGACAAAGGAAATGGGACTGGACAGACTCCGACAAGACCCTGAAGTTTCCTGCCCATACCCCCAAAATCCACCAAAAACCACTCACCATTCAACACTTCATCAGAGTGCACTCTTCTCCTCTACCTCCTCTTCCTACCTTCCAGCCCACCCTCTCTGTACCTCAGTCTTTCCCAGTACAAAACTATTCTTCTCTGTGTGATAAGAGGTGGGAAGATAGAGGGCAGGGCATGAACTATGACCCCTCCCTAGTCCCAGCCCCAACACAGTTGTGTTATTCCATCCATGTGGCTAGAATAACACACCATAAACTGGGGAGATTGTAAACAAAAGGAATGGAGACTGGGAAGTTCAAGGTGAAGGCACCAGCAGACTCGGTGTCACATAAGAGCCCATTTCTCAGAGACAGTATCTCCTCCACATGGTGGAAGGGGCAAGGCAGCTCTCTGGGCCCCTTTTAGAAGGATACTAGTATCCTTTACTTGAGCTCCATCCTCATGACCTAACTATCCACCCAAAGGTCCTGCTTCCTAATGCCACCCCTTTGAGGATTAGGGTTTTGAAGTAAGAATTTGTGAAGAAACAAACTTTCAGTCCAAAGCAGCAGCCAGGTGATGGCTGGACACACAGGGGAGTTCTCTGCAGCTTCCTCACCCCAGGGTCTGACATAGTTGGTCATGTCATCAGATTGAGTGTGTCCATGTAGATAGAGGTTTTGCACAAGAATGTTCGTTTTCTACTAAGAGGCCTGAGAGGTCAACGGACACCCTTTCCACGTGCCCTGATAGCCCAGCCAGTAAGGGGGAGTATAGGGACTAAAATTTCACTTTCTCAGAAACAGCAGATTCAGCAACTGTGGCTGCTACAGGAGACACAGATCTGCACCGGTTTAATTTCTCTCTGCCTTTATCACCATACACAAAAAAGAGCTATTACGCCCTGTCCCACGGCCAAGGACTCACCTCGTCTAGCGTGGGTGAAATGATACCCTGGGCTCCAGGGTCACCAGACAGCTCCTTCCCCCACATTCACATGGCTGGGATCATCACCTGCCTCTGGAAAACTGTTCCCAGCCAGGAAGGACACTGTCCTTGCCATCGGGGACTCTCAGAGAATCAGATTCCTTTCAGAAACTGAGCCAGGTTTGAGCTTTGTGAAGAAGACTACAGCAGCAGCCAACATGTTCCAGAGACGAAAGCTCCCTCTCCCCATTTGCCTGAGCCCTGAGACAGGGAGGGGAACCTTCCTTGAGAACCCTTGGAATCATTTGAGCAGCTTCTGGGAAGGAACTCTAGGGAGAGAGACCAGTTTCTAAATTTGAAATACTTGCATCAATGCTAAAAATGTGAAATGTTGATCAGATGTTGAACCTTCTGGACCCTTCCAGCCCAGACTAGGATTCTGAATCTGAACAAAGAATGTGGGGAGATCAGAGAGTTGGACAAGAAGAAGGTGCCTGTTACCATCTGTCCATAGCTGATCTCCTGCCCTATCTCAACCCTCCTATGGTTAGGAGGACAATCCCATAAATGGAGGGATGGTTTTCCATGAGGCTGGTCCTTGGTGCCGAGAAGGTTAGGGACCACTGCTGTAAAACTTGCACTGTGATATAAAGATGAATATGACCCAAATCTTAGAACAAAAACCAAATAAGCAATGTCTCACTCTGAGCAAGCCCATCCTCCCCCCAAAAAACGACTGAGAACAAAGATCCCTGCTCTAAAACTGTCCCAGAGCTTATTTGGCAAATGCACCCAGGATACATTTTCTGATGGAAGTTTGCAAGCAAGTGTTGGTGGTGCTCATTTGTGTTTATAAAGACCAACAGCTTCTAACCACTCTCCCAAAGTACTTCTCAGCCCCAGAAGCCTGCTGAGGCCAGGGCCCCTGAAGGGCAGCCCAGAAGGACTAAGGAACTGCTGTTCTTCCCACCCCTGAGCAGTCCTCAACCAGTGATGGAGAGGAGTTAGCAGGGAAGTATTGCAACTTCCTCTCTCCTGGGGGTGGTGGGGTCAATCTGAAAGGTGAACCATGAGGTCTCCCTGTTGACCCCAGCAGGATTGGCCCCGGTTATCCAAAATAACAACCTGCTCATTAACTCACCCTGTACTTGCCTCTGACCCTTTCCTATCACACCCAACCCCCAAGAGTGCTTCCTTCCTAAGGCCACCTCCTAAATAAACC